TCGTGTCCCTTGACATATAATGTTAGTAACATGTCTATACTTTACTGTATTGTCAGAGGATTTTTAAATGGTAAGCACTGGTTTATAAATGATCATTTAAGATTCCTTAAACTACAGTAAGCTTTGGATAGCCTCCAAAAGAACAGAAGTGATATATTGGCTAGCCTGGAGTGACAGAGTTTGCTAACATTTCCATTCATACAAATAAAGAGGAAACCTAACCCTAGGAAGATCCTGACAATGCTTGTTGCCAGACATTTTAATCATGAAGGAAAGGACAGCTACTGGGTGTTAAATTGCATGAGCCTCTGTGCTGCTGTTTAGATTTGTCTGCACTCTTCAAGCATGAGGGAAAATCCATTTATCAAGCTATCTGCTGTCTTTCAGTTTGCCCATAAAGCAAAAATATGGCATCTCCTCCCTTTCCTTGGAGCTAGTATTTGCACTGGAATATTGTTTACATTTCTGGTGAGTTGAACCCTCCTTACACGTCTCAACACTTTACATTGCACTGTATTATTATATTAAAGGTGGTGATGTGTCACCTGAATACTTTTTAGTGCACCAAATGACACAATGAAATGAAGCAGAAAGAATGTGGTGACATTTCTCAATAGGAAACATTTAACTCTACTGCATCAGTGTTTAATTGACTTGCAAACCACTCAGAACTCCATGAATGTTAAGTGAGCAGGTCCTTAGCAGAAGGTAACACTTTACATTAAGTGTCTCTAAGTACACTTGTTTATATGATAAATTGTTGTATATAAACTCATTTTAAATGACACCTTTCTGCATGTTAGTGATTACATGTACCTTGGGTTCTGCCCTCACTGAAGTGTGCAGGGGTTTCATATATGGAACTCTCATACTTATTTTTAGAATTACATTATGAGAATTCTTCTTAAGTTTATACAGAGCAAGTTCCTAACTTGCAAGCTCTTTGTATTGATCAATAATGTTACAAGAAGCCCAGAATTCCATTAGCAGCAAACTCTGAGAATTTTAAAAACAACTTTCAAGTAGTAACTATTTTACCATACAAGTTAGGGCCTGATACCATATTATTTGGACCCAGTAGAAGTCTGTGATGTCTGAGAAGTCCAGGATCAGGGCTTCTTGATTTTCTTCTTGATTTGTAATATAATTTATTTTGAGATCCTGTTGACCAGTTTATGCAAACCCTGGGGACATTTAATTTTAATGTCTGTGTAATTTTTCTATACCACTTCATCTCGTTTAAACTCTGATAACTGTCACCTCCTTGGTATAGTGTCACATTTTGTTCATTTCTATTTGCTTGTTCTGTTGTTTCAAGTGTGAAATAGTCTTCTGGTAGTTATAAACTACCCACAATGTAACCCATTTCTAGGAAATTAGTTATTGATTAAATATTGACAGATTTCTTTCCTCTTTACAGACTGGTCAATATGAACATGCTGGTCCAGAGTAAGGAAGAGAGAGGGGTTAGGATTGTTCACCCCCTTTACCAATGAAAGAGCTATTGTCCTCCTCCAGGTAACAATTATTTACACTGAGTTTATTAATAAACAAAAGTGATTTTATTAAGTATAAAAAGTAGGATTTAAGTGGTTGCAAGTGACAGCAGACAGATCAAAGTAAATTAAGAGAAAGAAAACAAAGCATTCTAGTTAGGTCTATACACTAACAGAACTTGATACATATCAGAATTTCTCTCCTAAGTTATTATTTCAAGTAAAATCCTTCTCACGCCAGAGATGTCCTTTCTGACCAGGGTCTAACAGTTCTCTTCCACTCTAGTTGTTAACAGTCCTTTTTCCCCCCAGGTATTTTCATGTATCTTTTTGGGGTGGGAAGCCAATCTGTAAAGCCAGCTGGAGACAATCATTGTTTATTTACCTTGCCTTACATAGAATTTTTCTAGGGCAGGAAGCCTTTGTTCAATTCCCCCCACACCTCTGTGGAAAAGTACAAAATTCAAGATGGATTCCAGCATCAAGTGACATTGACACAGGGATGTCTCAGCAGCACAGGGAGACAGTTTCATTAGCTCTGTAACTCACTTCTTTGTTGTTGTTCCTCATGGGCTTGAAATCGCCTTTTTTCCCAACATGAACACATTGGTAAAAAAACAATCTACAGTCAATATTCCCAGTTTTAGATACAGAAATGGTACATGCATATAAATAGAATAAACACATTGAGTATATTACAAGCATTTCAATGATATGTCACATGAAATATTTTGCATAAAGCATATTCAAATTATGTCATTCATATTCATAGACTATTTCCATAAAGAATATGGGGTGCAACGTCATGCTTCCTAGATCTCTCTCTATGAGGGGAGCAGGGGCGGATATAGGGCAGGGCGAATGGGGCGGCCGCCCCGGGCCCCGCACTTAAAAAAGCCCTGCGCATGCACCTTGGCGCCACCGCACATGCGCATGGCGTCACGGCGCATGCACCGTGGCAAAGGGGGAGCCCCGTGGAGTTATGCCGCCCGGGGCCCCGCAAAACAGTCATCTGCCCCTGGAGGGGAGTGACCTTAGTGGAGTGAGAGAAGGAAAGTGGCATTCTCCCCTGCTTTAGTAACTGCAAGAGAGTGAACTTTATTTTAAATATTTAACCTTACAGGATTGTCTTCTCTGTGGATGACAAATCAGTTTTAGACCTCTCCATCACCTGTCTAGAGCTTTTGCCCTGCCTCGTCTGACTAGAGGTTCGGACCTGGCTACAATGGCTGCTCTAATACCATCCCACAACAGCTCCTAAGAGCTCTGTGCATGGAAATGACATTGCTGACTTGAGCATTTGAGGCCTAAAAGCACCTAGCAAGTGGATTTTATAAATCATCATGCTTGAAGTAAGTTAGATTACAAGGTCTGTCAAGTTTCTTGGTACAAATGGTGTTTCCTAAACTTTGACATACTGGGTAAACACAGTCCCATTAGAAATTTCATTCTGTAATTTCTATAGAGGAACTTCAGAAATAATTTGCATGCTCAATGTAAAGAGGTGCTTCTGCTGCTTAATTATTTTAAACACTTCTCTGAACTTTCTGTGCCACAGAAACAACAAAATGGCTTCAGACAAAAGTCCCAGTATGAGAGATGAATGAAGGGTCATGAATCCTCAAAAACAACAATGCTATGGGTCTATTTTGGTAATGAACTTGGCAGACTAATGTGGAAGTTTTTATTAAGTGAACTACTTCCAAGTTTCAAGGGAGTGGGTCATAAATAGATTCTTCAGGAAATTCACAAAGCTAGGGCTGACATTGAGAAATGAAATTATTTGGTTAAAGGCACATGTTGGCATCTACCAATCTAACTGAATTACTACAATTATAAAAAAATTTCATAGAACTCTGGAGCTGTTTTCTTGGAACCTTATTTAGATTTTTTTTAATTAATCCCTATCCCTTCTTTTTCAAGGAGAATTTAAATTATCACGGAAGACAGTGATAGCCTTTGAGCAAGGTTAGGGAAATGTAGTACAATAAAACACATAGAGGTCTGCATGATGACAGCAGGAAAAGAGGACGAAAAGAGAAGAGAGTGTTGCTGAAGGATATGTGCCAGATAGTGAATGGAGAGCTGAAGGGGAGCTAAGAGTGGGGGGAGGCGAGGGCCTGAGACTGAAGAAGATGAAGGAGTCCTGGAAGTAACTGTTATTTCAAGAGATGGCACTGATAGGCACAGAGTAGACTATAGATCATGGCCACTGACCTTTAACTAGATTCGTGTTACAGCAGCTGTCAATCACTAACAATGACCGAGTTGGTCCCATCCTCAGAGTTCCCCGAAATGCTCACGCACTATATTGTACCTAATTCTCCCAACATTTCAAAAAAATGCTCACTCTCCACAGTGTGTTGTATTTAAGTCATTCAGAAATACCTCAGTTATTCAAGCTGACTGCTTTTCTGCAGATTAGAGGTGGTCAAAAAAATAATGTAAACAACATTATGAGGGAGAAAAGGGGGCATTCTTAAAAAAAAATGTTTCATTGAAGGATTTGATGTCTTCCAAAAAAAGGACACAAATTTTCAAAATGAAAAATCTGAAATGGTCCAAATTTTTCCTTTCATTTCAGTGAAAAAAAATTGTTTAAATTAAAAAAACTCTCACAATCTCTTACTTTTTACCTTTATTTTTTTTCTGATTGAAAAAAAACATTACAATAAATAAAAAGTCACAGAAAATGTGTAGAATGAACCCTTTCTCTCACCTTTTTATTCTACTTTTTTCCACTGGAAAAAGATTCTCTCACACACATACACAGACACACAACTTTTTCATTATCTTTTTAAGAAGAAAGCAGATTAGGTTTTTTTCAAACCTAAATGTTTTGATTTTGGCTTAAAGAATTTGGTTTTCATTTTTTTATTGAAAAATTAATTTTGACCATAGAAGGCGACACTATTTTCTGAGCAGCTTTTTTTGGAAAGTAAGCAAAATAGAAAGGAATATGCATAAAATAATTGGTGAAAATAAGTTTTCAAATTGTCAAGAAAAAAGGAAGTTCATCCTGTGTTATTAATACAAAAAGGCATCTGAAGTATACACAAGGATCACTGAATGTTACTGTCATGCCACCGCCTCTGTGATGAAATTAGTAAATAATTAACAGCAATACTACCCAGTTGTATAAAGCAGGATGTGAAAAATATCTAGGGGAATAAATAATGTTGACAATATAATCATTCAGTTTTGTATCTGGGCATGTCATCACATTTAACAACCCTGTTGTGATAAGTATTATGAAATCTTCAATGGCTCAAATGATAAATAGCATTTCACCTGCATGATGGCACCTCCAGGAGCACAGTACTGCAGTAAGAATAGTGGGGACATTCCTGCCTGCTAAATCATGAACATCGGTGTTTCTCATGGATATTTCCTGCCCAAATACTATTCTGGCTTAACCATAATCACATATGAGAGCCCAGGGCATTGCAGCATACAGTGGCATGGAAACTTAATGTAAATTGTAAAGGATTCACTCAGACTTACCACTCATCCTCAGTTTTGTGAGACAAGCCTGATTAAGGCAGCTCAGTCCTTGAGCATTCAAACAGCACAAGATGAAAATTCCCAGGTTAGGTTTTGTAGGAAATAAGATCTCTGCACAAATTTTGTTGTAAACTGGGTAAGTCCCTAAAGAAACTTGATTGAAATCCAAGTACATTGCCCAACATTTTATTGACATTTCTTCCTTTAAATCATGGGACAAATACAAGTTAAAACTGGTAGTTAGGACTTGTTCAACCTTTTATGCAATTATTTCCAGTGAATATACATACCTGCAGGAATCATGCCAAACAAGTACAATGCAAATTCCTGTGTACTAAATAAAGGTGAGCATTCTATTTGTTGTTTTGAAACATTTTATATCCTTTGATCATCCTGCCGTACCGGAACTGCTTTCTGAGGTATGTGGAGAGGAATGGCCTCTTAGTTACCCCCTGTTTTGTGAGAGTAAGACAAGTTAATTGGGCTTGACAATACAGATGACCCTTTCAAGTGAGGTAAAATGAGACTGCTTTGCTTTCACAGATAGATAATCATTAATATTACTTGTACTGTCTATAGGAAGAGAAAGGGTCTTGTTTGTTTTAAGTGTTTTCAAAGGCAGGCAACAAAGGGTATTAAGGGGGTACCAGCATAGAGGAGACAGTGCAGCCATACAAATAGCTCAAAAGAAATTGACAGGATCTTGCAATCAAAATGTATCATTACTCTGAAAGATAGGAAGTTGGCTATTTCTTTACCATTGGCTTAAGCTGGCTTACTGAGAACAACAAAACTGAATAGCTTTATTCTTCAGATTCTGCTTGGTAAACCAAATCCTGTAATTTTTACTCACTCTTTATTTATGAAAAACCCATATTTACAGTGAGCTGCACCATTCAAGATTTGGGCCAGTTGAAATTTTTCCTGAGTAAGGGACTGAATAAAATGTGTAAAGACTTGAGGATTTAGCACGTTAGTAGCATAAGCATTTATGTGGCACCAATTACTGTAGTATACAGGCACACTTAACAATGTTTATATTTAATAGCAAACATCATAGCTCATTAAATGGGCACATATTCTGCCAATCTAAGCAATGCTCAATTAGCAAACATAAAAAGGAGGGGTAACTAGTCAGTAGGGTAAGTGACAGGAGAATTTACAAGTGCAGTCAGTAGCCTGCACAAGAAGAGACATTTTTGCAAACACTGTAGTTGGCCAAATGTTTTGTTGCCTTAGCACTTGTTATAGACTTGATTCAAAGTCTATTAAAATCAGTTGAAATTGCCACTAAGTTCAAAAACTGAAAACAAAATGTACATATTTCTTTGTTACATGGTGCACCAGCACTTTATGTGGTATCTGCCATTGGCTTGAACTGTGGCTCCATTCTCCTTGCACTGACCTGGGCCTCTGCTGCCATCCAGAGCTTTATTCTCTCCCTTGTGGATGCTCCACTTTCTCCCCGGGTGCTTCAGTGCCACCCAGGACTCTGCTCCTACTGGTGGCCAGGGGCTCCACTTTCTCTCCAGTGGCTCTGCTGCTGCCACAGGGCTCTGTTACTGCCCAGTAGCTCCATGCTTTGCTCACACCGGGCGGCTCTGTACTTCCCCCAGTAGTCTCAGAGTTTCTGATGAGAACATTTTTAAAATCTAGTAAAAATCAATCAAAATCTAGTCAAAACGACTCTGTGCTCCTCCTGACAGCTCTGTGCTCCCCTCAGCATACCAACTATGGCCTGGGGGGCTCCATGCTACCTTCCAGCAGCTGCTCCACTCCACTCCCTAGGGACTGGGGTTTTTGTGTTCCTTCTTGGGTCCTGGCAGCTCTGCAATGCTCCTATCACCAGCCAAATGGCTTATCCCATGAATGCTCTCACAGGATCACCCCAATGATGCCAGAGTAGGGGTGTTGCCAGACCAAGGAAGTCTGGATTACAGAGTTTCAACCTGTAGAATTTTATTTCAGCTCAAAAGTTTATGTTACAATCTAAAGATAATGTAACCTGAGACTGTATGAAGAGCTGTATGAACTTGTAATAAAAGAATCTGATAAAGACTACCCTGGTGTTTATTTTCCAACAACTATATCATAAAATGATCATTTTTTTATAATGTTAGGGACACCACCGTAAAATACACAAAAACAACTTCCCAAAAAGGCAGCCAAGCACAGAGCTCATTGTTGAAAGGGAACTCAATGGAGACAAGATAGTTCAAGAATTATTGAAGATATCGAATTCCCAATAGGCTGGAGTTCTTCGTTACCCATTTATTAATGGTCAGGACTCCATTTTGATCTCAGAACTTTCTAACAAACATCCCTAAAACAGCAATAACAATACAAAGAAAATTCTGCCTCCTCTAGTAAGTAAATTTTCTTTAAAGAAATAAAGGCATAATTACTTTGCTTTAACCGAATAATGAATTAAAATATACAAAAAAACTTTGTACAAGATCAAACAAGAAATTAGGTGTCAGTAAAAATCAGTAAAAAAAGACAAAATTTTCCAATTATTGTTTTTTAAACTTTGAAACTTTAAAAAAATACATTTTAATGAAAATTACTAGGGTTGGTGAAAGAAACAGAGTTTTCATTCTTCAGGAATTTTGACATTTGATTTCATTTTTGGAATGAAAGTCTAAAGTCTCACATTTCTCACAGAATGCAAACATTTCATTTTGATCATGTCAAAATATGACAATATAAAACGTAAAATAAAATCTGATTTTAAACATAACATACACATGTAATACAATAACTGATATTTAAATATAATATAAAAGTCAAGACTAAGTTAACTGAAACACTTAAGTTGGAACAAAATGATAAAATGATTCTTTGAGAAATTTTTCTGGAAAATTGCTTTGATTTTCAGAAAACTTCATTGACAATAGAAAACTGTGTGTTGCATCAAAAAATGTCAATGAACTCTAGAACATATCCTTCATCTTGGTCTTTACAGCACTTTCTGTGTTCATCATTTCAGATATTTCAGTTTATATTCTTTGAGGGAATCGTTATTTACAGAAAGATGACATAAAAGTAATAATAGTCACATAGTCACACTATATTATATTCAAGGCATTTTTTCCAGTCATCATAAGACAGTTCCTAAAATGTATAGGGTTTCATTTTAGGAACTGTCTTACTCAAGGAGCACAAAGTATTTTATAAAGCAGTGGAGTTTAGCAGCTATACATATTAAGCTATAGCTCATATATAGTACTGGACAGTAGACCCTAGCTTGAGAGAGAATGATGCAAGAAACATCACATGTTCTTTTGACTTCTGTAACTAGCTGAGATTATCATAAGAGAATTCTGTATAAAATCTCAAATGAAAGATTCACCCTCTTTGTAAAAGTCTTTTCATCATACGAATGATGGCTCCTTGTCTACATTACAAAGTTTTGCTGACATTGTTGTGTTGGCTAGGAGTGTGAAAAAATCAGAACCTCCTAGCCAATACAGAAATGTTGACAAAACCCTCAGGTAGATGCAGTTATGTTGATTGAAGCATGCTTATGTTGGCTTAGCTAACATCACTCAAAGAGGTGGAGTTAATATGCTGTCAAAAGAATTTTTTCTGTTGGCATATACAACATCTAGGCTGTGTCTACACTGCACCCCTTTTCTGGAAAAGGGATGCAGATGAGACAAGTCGGAATTGCAAATGAAGTGGGGGATTTAAATATCCCCCGCTTCATTTGTATAAACATGGCTGCCGCTTTTTTCCGGCTTG